TCTCTGGGAGGTAAAACCTCGCACCTATTGCAATGTCCAGTAGATAATAGGTACCCAATGTCCTCATGTAATAAAAGCTAATCATTTGGTTTCCCATGAGAAAGTAAAGTACAACCCATTTCAGGAATGATAAGGTCTTTTTCTGAACGGGAAAAAGTCTACAATTTTGGTGAAATTCTTGCTGCTAGAAAATCAAATGGTCTGGATTTGTTTGTGTTTTTTGAGGTCCTGCCAGTTTCTTCTCCAGTGCTTGGAGTGTCCTTTATGAACAGTGGAAGAGGCTGTCTGAGCTTGCACTGTGCATCAGTGGTCTCCACTTGAATTCCCACACTCCAGGGCTAGCTCCAGCTAATAGCTGGTGTGCACACAGTTAGAAGTCTTGTTTACAGAAGCTGATGTGCAAGAAGAAAATACTTCTTGTGAAGTATTTTCACATTGTGGGAATGTGTTTGCACTTATCTTTCAAAATGAGGGCTCAAGCTTTGCTACTGGTAAAAAATGGATTGACACCAGGGTTTCCTCAGAGAGTCACATGTCAGGTACAATATGAGCTACTCAGAAAGGGAGAATGGAAAGTTCCACTCCCTTTTTTCACTTATTCTTTATTGTAAGACATTGTAGTTTATGCATACCCAGTTAAAGGGATATGTGTGTTGTATTATATAATTTTTCTCAAACTAACCTCATAAAATGGACAAGAGGCTAAAAAGTGTTCCTACATAAAACAAACCCCTTGTACTGAAGATGATAACAACGATGTGAGCCTAAGTGAATGAAGTAATGACAGAGCTGATGCTTCTACTCCTGGTACAGTGCTTTGTTGGCCAGGCTAGGAGGTAAAAACACTGACGTTAATCAGCTCTGTTAAGAGGACACCGTCATTCTGAAATGATCAATGCTCTCTGAAATGTGGATTTACAGCCACTGCCATAAATGCTGAAATGTGGATTGTGCCTTTGTGTTGTGACAGTATGAAGTCATCACTGTTAGCAAGACACTTTAAAACATTGTTTATTTTATCTTCATTGTATCTTTTTATTTTCTACTTTGTGTATTTTTTAAATGCTTAATATATTAGTATGAAGAAGGCAATGAAAAAATTTGAAAATCACTTGTCTTAATCACCATGTTGCTACATACGATCTATTAGCCCAGTGCTTTGTTTCTGATAGTGGCACCATGGGGTGTAGCAGGAAGTTAATAAATAAGCACTAAATTAATGACAACCATAGTATAGTGGGACAAGTTAAGGAACACAAAAATCAAACAAACGAATTAGAGGAATGAGGTTAACGAGAACAAGAGGCTCAGCTGCAATCAGGCTCAGCAGGTGCCTGCACAGGAGAGAACAACTGACATGTGAGTATTTGAATAATTTCAAGGATCCCAACCAGCCTTCCTCTGTAGTTTACACAAGATCAACTGGTAACCTACATGGATAAAACTTAAAAGACTGATAATATCAAGTGCTGACAATGAGGTGGAACAGCTGAAATGCCCATACACTACAGGCGAGAATATAAATTGGATAACTGCTTTGGGAAAGTGATGATATATAAGTACATTGTTATAGCTAATACAATGAGAATGAAGAAACTATTGTTATATGCCACAACCTATATGAATATTAGAAGCATAACACTGAGCAAAAATGCCAGACCAAAGAGTGCTGATGGTAAGCAAGGCTGCACAAGCCATGTAGACTCATAATGCAAAAGGAAACATCAGTAAAACTGATTGTCAAGATTAATTTTACATGTGAACTTGATTAGGCCACAATACCCAAATAGTTGATACAACGTTATTCTAGGTGTTTTTGTGAAGGTAATTTTTTACGATGAGAATATTATTTAAATCAGCAGATTTTTGGTAAAGACATTGGTGTATAGGAATTGTTCCATAAATGATAGCCATTGTAAGAACTGAATAGACTATGTCTAAAAAGTGATTCTTGAATGAAATACATTCTGTAGCTAGGAAAATGTGTATATCAATGGGATGTTTTCCCTTCACCTGAAATTTTGCAAACCTAGCAATTGTCAGTCACGCAGTTAGAGAATCTTAGCCTCCCCTGGTATATCTTGTGCTGATGGAGACAGGCCATTCTCTGTACAGTGTTCAAGGCAAAGACACACGAAAGGACTTGGAGCTGAGAGCAGGATTTGGGTCTCAAATATTCTCAAAAAGTCTACACTCTAATCAATGTCAGGACAAAAATGAGTTTGTGCAATGCAAACAAAGGGACCCACGTGTCTTTTAAAGAGGAATTTATATGGCATAAATGATTGGTTTCTCAGTGGTGCATCAAAACAGATACAGAGAGAGAAAAGAAGAAGGAAAAGGAAAATGAGGAGGGTGAGAAAAAGAAAGAGAAAGAAAAGGAGGAAGAGAAGGAAGAAAAGGAAATATAGTATCAGACATATGTATTCTAAGAAAACTCCTTAAGGAATTCAACTTCCTTAAGGTGTCATTGGTCTTCACCTCACCTGTTTCCAAAACCTGCAAGTGTTTCTGTAAAGGTTAATTTTATGTGTCAACTTGACTAGGCTACAATACCTATATATTTGACCAAACATGTCTAAATGTTGCTGTGTAGGTATAGGTATTTTTGGATTAGATAAACATTTAACTCTTTAAATGTTAAGTAAAGCAGACTGTTGTCCATGGTGTGGGTGGGCCTTGGCAAATCAGTTGAAGGCCTTAATAGAAAAAGATTGACCCCCCCCAGGGGAGGAAATCCACCAGGGCACCACCTGTAGTCTCCAGCCTGTCAGACTATCACACAGATCTTGGACTTGCCACATCTTCACAACCACATGAGCCAGCACACACTCATGCACAGACACACACACACACAATTGGTTCTGATTCTCTGGAAAATCTAATACACTGATCCTTTCCCTCTTTAAATTTTATTTTATTCATCATGAATTTTTTAATTCATTTTGAGTTTTAAAAATATTATTATTTTTTAATTATTGGGGAGCTATTTTTAGCAGCACCTTGAGTTTTATACCTGAGGCTAGTGACTCACTTGCCTTAGGTTGGTTCCTAGGCTGGTAACTTATACTGTTGGTTACAGCTCTTCATAAAGTCAAAGAACAGGCAGGAGCAATCCATGCTTCTAGAAGTCAAGATCATGGTTCCTTAGAATGGGCGGGGGAGGAGTGACATAAGGGGCACAAGGGGGTCACTGAAATGTTCTCCTTCCTGATGTGGGTGCTGGTTACATGGGCATGTTCTCTGTGAAAATTCACTCAAATGTACACTTATTATGATTTGTGCTCATTTCTCTATTTATATGACACTTCAGTAAAACATGAATGTAAAAATCAGCGCTCCCTCTGTCCACTCCATTATCTCTTCTAAATTGGCAATAAAAATGTACAGCCTAATCTGGAAGCATCACTTTCAGAGAAATGCCTGTCCTGTCCAAGACTCTGTATTTCCAAGAGGAAGAAACCACTCACGCTAACTTCATGCAGAGGGGCGTTATTGAAAGTATACTAGGAAATACTGTTATCCATCTGAAGGGCAGAAAGTACTACTGACTGTCCTTCATGAGAATCTGGACATTGGCAAGATTTACGATTTGGGCCTGTGCCTTACACTTATGACATACTATGCAAATCTCTAGTTCAACCATTTTATGAAAAGGACCATGTAACAAGCACTGTGCTAGGAACTTTACAGTTCTTTAGTCCTCATCCTGTTCCCTCACATATTTGGTAGTAATAGCTCATTTTACAGGTGAGTCCGCTGATTCTCAGAGAGATTAAATCATTTTCCCAGGCATACACAGGTCATTTAAGTGGGGAAGGCCGCAATGTCCAAGTTCTTTCCACCAAGGCAGTGCTTTGAAAGAATATACCCATACCCTATTCTCTTCCTCACTATTCCCCATCTGCCCTAAATGGGCAGCCCGTTGACGAACCCCAGCCAAAGCCAGTCTTGCCAGAGAATCGGTCACCTGCTGCCGTGGAAAGAACACTCAGTTCTCTGCACCAGCTTTAGCAGGGAAGGAGGTGACTGCAAGGCGGGCTGGTCAGCCTGGCCTACCCAGTCGAGGTTCCTCCTTCTCCTGGTGAGCTGGGTCTTGTATGCGAAGTGTGAGGATGGGGACCCCAGGGCTGAGAGCCCTTCTCCCCTGACCCAGCAGGTCTGGCTGGCACCGCGGCTGTGTTGGAGTGGAGTTCGGGCTCCAAAGAGCAACCCCATCACCCCCCCACCCCCCGCCCCAAATCCCACGCTGGAAGACCTGAGCAAATGGCTCTGGTGACTCCACCCAAGGCTGAGCGAAACCTGGCACCCACCCCTCCCCACTAACTCAGTCTGTGCGCTCCGGGAGTTGCAGCCACTCCACTGCTAGGGTGCTTTTGAGCGCAGCGCGCTGCCGCCAGCGCCAGGACCGAGAGCAGTCTGCTGGCAGCGGCACCTGGGCGCGTGCAGCCCTGCCAGCCCCAGGAGCCTCGAGGTTGAGAGACCAGCAGTCGGAGAAACTCCTGGGAGCCGCTGTCAGTCGGGTGGGATCACTTCGATTTGTTACTGAAGAGAGGTCCAGGTCCCCGGCAGACATCTCCAGCTGTCACCTCTGGCACTCAGGACCCCCAACTCGGAGCCCGGGCTGCCCCATGGGCAAGTCGACCAGAGTTTCGGTCCCTGGCCAGCGACAGTCTTGCACCCCAGACCATCCCCGGGCACCGAAGCGGGTCCAGCCTCCCTGCTCAGCCCTCCTGGGCTGCTCTGAGCACCCGACTGGACCCTGGGCAGCCTCTTCCACACGGTGGCCTCCCTCGGGGTCTGCCCGCCTCGCGCCCCCGTGCGTCCTTCTCTGTTTCTGAGCTTGCTCTGAAAGTGATGTAACGAGGAGGACAGGCTCGAACGCCGCGTTCCCTCTTTCCCAGACTAAGTCCTTTCTCCACCCGCCCTCGGCGCGCGCACAGAGCCGCGGCTGAGCTTCCAGAGCCTGGGACCGCACTGTTGGGGAAGACGGGCTCCCACGTCCCACCTCCTGGACGCAGAGCCAGTAGGAAAAGTCAGGCTTTCCTTCCAGAAACCAGGGACAGAGTCCAGGGGACAGCTGCTGCGGTGGTGTCTGAGGAGACGGTCTGGCTTCTTTCCCTGCCCCCAGGAGACGGGAGGAGACCTCAGGTACTACTTCAGGAACCCCCGCCGGTGGACGTTTATATGAGAGACACAGGTTAAAATTACGTAAAGAGACAGACAGACAAAGAGGGACAGAAACTGGGGGAGAGACAGACAAAGAGGGGCAGAGACCAAGCATATCGGACAAGATTAAGAGACGAGGGTAAGAGAGTCAGAGTTGGTGGGTGGGAAATTGACTTGGATTTTTTTTTTTTTTTAACCCACTGTGGTTTCTCTGACAGAAGACAGTAAAGCTAAAGCTTGTCCCTGGCCAGCGCAGAGCTCCCAACCTGGATGGAATGAAAGATGCGGCCTGATGACATTAACCCGAGGACTGGGCTGGTGGTGGCCCTGGTCAGTGTCTTCCTGGTCTTTGGCTTCATGTTCACTGTCTCTGGGATGAAAGGAGAGACCCTGGGAAACATACCCCTCCTGGCCATCGGGCCAGCCATCTGCCTACCAGGTATTGCGGCCATTGCCCTGGCCAGGAAAACTGAGGGGTGCACCAAGTGGCCCGAAAATGAGTTACTGTGGGTCCGAAAGTTGCCCTGCTTCCGGAAGCCCAAGGACAAGGAGGTGGTGGAACTGCTGAGGACCCCTTCGGACCTGGAGTCAGGCAAGGGAAGCTCGGATGAGCTGGCCAAGAAGGCGGGCTTCAGGGGGAGGCCTCCCCTCCAGCCACAGGCTGAGGTCAGCTCCATCACTATCCCCACCCCCACGGAAGAAGGAGAATGCCAGAGCCTGGTCCAGAGTGAGCATCACGAGGAGACATCCAGACACCTGGATGGCTACTGTCCCTCAGGCAGTTCCCTCACCTACAGTGCCTTGGATGCCAAGTGCTCAGCCTGGGACAGGTCCGAGTGCCCCGAGCCCGAGGACAGCATCTACTTTGTGCCCCAGGACAGTATCATCGTTTGCTCCTACAAGCAGAACAGTCCCTATGACAGATACTGTTGTTACATCAACCAGAGCCAAGGCAGGTGGGACCAGGAGACGATAGTCTAAGCTTTGCATAGAAGAGTCGCTGTGTTGATAGAAACATGACTGCACTCTGCCCCCGTGGAAGGAAACAGCCCTGCTCCAGCAGCCTTCACACTGTTAGAAACCGACCTGGTATGTGATGGGTGTGCAAACCTCTGGTCCCGACAGCCACGTAAATAGGCATGTTGGGGACACATTGCAGGGAAGGGTGACGAGTGTTAAGGACATTGGAAGAGGCAGTGGGTAGGAGAGGAAGCAGTACTAATTGCTTTTCAACAATTTAAATTATGTTGGATGTTTTGTAAATAACCCCAAAAGTACGACTCAGTACCTGCCAAAAGCAAGGTAAATCTTGAGTGGGCTGCAGAAACCAGGCATCAAATGATACTTGGGCTACCCACGGGGACACCGAGCTGCTTTAGGTCTGAAGAAATGGAGAGAAAAAACATGTAAAGCCCTGTTATAAGAAATGATTTTTCTCTGTGGAAAGCTTTTCACACTTAGTATTTGCTGAAAGAAAACAAGTCAGGAGAGAATAGCTACACCTCCCCTGAGGTAGGATGGTTTCTGGGGGAAGGGAAGTTGAAGACAGTTGAATTGTGTAATTCAGGTTGTTAGTATCCTCTGACAAGATCAGAAATTTAATAAAGTAAAATAAATGTGAACAGCTATGTGAAAAACTAATGTTTTTAGATGGCTATGTTACTGACTAAACTCTCCAGTTAAAGTGACTTACTGGGTCTTTATCTGAAGTGGTTTCTAACACATACTATCATTCATGTGTAATTTTTCCATCAGGTGCAAAATGACTTGATGTAATATTTTCATAGATTAGACTTTGTTTTCATCAAATCAAAATGGATTTTACATGTGTATACAAGTGTCTTTAATATTTGGGGGAGACATGTACTGGTAATTATTATTTCTATATGCCTTTTAATACCTGAAAACTATGAAATCAATATCTTAGTCTTGAACTTTATGCAGAATTTACATGAAATGCAATGATTAAACTTCTGGAAATGTCAGAAATGTCATTATTTGTACATTTGTTCAGCATTCCCAAAGACTGTAAATGCCAATGAAATGAGAGTTAATCTACCAGATTTAACTAAAGCCCAGTTTTTATTTAGTTCATCTGATCAGTGAACTTTACATGGCAAAGACCTGCTCTATTTCATGTTTAATTTTTTGCTGCTGAGAAAAAAAAATTACAATGGAATTCTAAAATGTCTTTCTTCTTCACTTATTCAACTGTAATAGATAAGAGGTCAATCAGCCAGAATACTACTGGGTCCCCGTTGAAGAGAAATATTGAATTATACATAGAAATGGTATATATTTCATCCAGAAGATAAAAATAATTTTGCATCCTTCAAAGAATGAAGACTTATTTTTAATGATCAGATAGTCTCAGCCACTTTTTCCCAAAAGTAGAATTGAGAACAATAATTTGGGGTATTACCTCTCTTGCATATTTCAAGTTCAACTCTGTAATTCTCTAAGTATAGCAATTATTCATGTTTTAAGAATTATGCCCTTAAAAATTACAATTTCCTATTCAAATATGTCAAAAAGCATGTAATTGTTTTTTAGTAGGGCTTAAATGTCATAAAATGAGATTTGTAATCCTGGGCAAATGTTATCTTCTCACATCTCAGTTCCCTGAAAAGGGAGGCATGGAACTGATTTATACTAGATTATCTTTTCATTCATTCCCAGTCTGAATATTCTATGGCATTTTGTCAAAGGCACTTTATGCCTTGCCAGGAAATGAGTTACAGCAAAATGCAGGCCAAAGTTATGCAATTCATGGTAACAATTATGTGACATGGATTGAATTCTTGCTACTATTAAAAAGAATTTTGTAGATGTGTGAAAGCAGATGTGTTCTATTACCAAATATTTTTTTATTCAGCTAAATACATTTCTGGGAATAAAATGAAGAATGCTCAGTAAAATATTTTTGAGGATAATTTTTTTATATTAGAGCCCCAAATAAGCTACTACATACCCTTACACTATATGTAATTTACTCTGGACTTGGCATGAAGAAAAAACAATTCCTGGAATCACAATACCTCTTGACCATTCTAATGCATTTTGAAAGAGGGAGACCATATTTTTATGAAGGTGAAAATCATTAGATAACTGTTAGAAATAAGAACTTCCCCTAATTTGTTTGCCACTGTGGACAGCTTTAGAGGTGAGGAGATTAGCAAGGCTTGAAAAAGCAATGTTCAGAGGCTCAGCAAGTCTTACACGGGGCTTGAGAAGAGATGCTTCTACTGCCAGCTGTAGTTTGGGGTTTGGAAAAGTTACTTTCTGGTTTCTTGAAACCAGCTCAAACTCCTTCATAACACACACACACACACACACACACTCCAATTTCCAAATCCAAAGTCATCTAGTAGTTTAAAGATATCGGGTATTTTATCACATTTTCAAGTTCTATTTCAGAAGAAACTTACTTCAAGTTCCTTCTTCTCTTCACCTATTTAAGATCCTTAAAGGCAGCTAAATATGTGTTTGAAGGAATTTTCTACAGCGCTAAAGTAAAGGAATTTTCTACAGTGCTGGGAGGCTTAACTTTGACCAGGAAGAATAAAATGTGTGATTGTGTGTGTGAATTTTTCTTAACATCTTACATTAAACAACCGTTCCCTAACATGACGTGGGCTAGCCTTGTGTCCCCAATAAACACTTGTTAAGTACCATTCATGGTAAAACCATCATTCTTCTGAACAGAGATGAAAGGGAAGGGAAACGAGGAGAGAAAGTGCCTGAGCCATTAGAGAACAGAGTAGCTCACTCACAGTTCCAGCAAATTGTTAATACTAACATAATAGACATGAGAATTGCTTCTGATATCCTCTAAGAGCTTTCAGGCAGACATAAATTTATGTCGGCATTAGTTACTTTTTTACTTGCTGTAAATTCAAATAGTCATTTCAACTTAATATTAAATAGGTATTTTATTTTTGAAATTTTCTCTGTTGGATTTCTCCTGCTCAATATTGCTGTTTATCATGCATATGTTTTCTTTTCTAAACTGTTCCTTGATGCCGAAGTGTAAATTCAGCCAAGATACCCAAGCTGGAGCATATTTAGACAACTGTTTCAAGGCTTGGTTTCTATTGCAATTATCATATTAAACAAAATCCAGATATAGTTAAGTTCAGGCCTTCTTCCAAATCCTACTTACCAGCTCCTTTGAAAGTGCTTTCAATTCTATGGATCTTAATATCCATTGAGTGAACAATTGTGGGGAGAAAAATTTGTTCTTTTCAATGTTTTTCCCTTTTATAATATCCAATGTTTATTTTTATTAATATCTCCCCTCTACACTTACAGCATCATTTATTTGGTGACTTCACTATCACTATTCTTTATAACATTAAAAAATATTTTTGAAAATCAGAGGTCCCACTACCCTAACAGAACTATTGAATTTCCATTTTAGCATATTATCTCCTAGGCTTCCTCCATGTGCATACGTACATACCTTATGTATAGAATCATCAGTTTTTCTTTAATTATTAATTATACCCTAAGTATGTTTTCAGGTTTCTGTTCAGTGTTCCTAATTATCGCTTAACAATTGAGCAATGTGCTGTTTCACGATGTACCATAATTTGCTATGCCATGCATTATTACTAGTCAGATACCGTGCTTAATGGGTGGTTTTATTACTACTATTTTCTGTTGTTGGTAACACAGCTACATTATTTGCTATTTTCCCAGAGTGGTGCAGATTTACAATTGAAAACCTGTATTGTTATAGATGAGATTGAAGTGACAGAAATGTGTAAAGGGATAAAACACGCAATGTTGTTGGTTTTCTCTTCACTCATGTAGATGCAAGGCATAGGGTAAGAAATAAAATAATGCTTCTTCAAAAGAGTCCCCCATTGGGACCAGAGCCAATATTTTTTTAAAGTGTATTTTTTAAAAGATTTTATTTATTTATCTTTAGAGGGGAAGGGAAGGAGATAGGGAAAGAAATATCAATGTATGGTTGCCTCTTGTGTGTCCCCTGCTGGGAACTGGCCTGCAACCCAGGCATGTGCCCTGACTGGGAATCGAACCGCAATCCTTTGATTCACAGGCCCACACTCAGTACACTGAGCTACACCAGCCAGGGTGCCAATATTTTTAAGAGTAAGATGAGACATTTTCCCAGTTAAGATACCATGAGTTTGTATATCGAAATCTGATTACACTGGTGTCAACCTTCAAGAGCATAATGTTGAACAAGCAAAATGAAAAACAGAAGTAAATGATAATAATTACTTTGTAATATTTTGAAAGCAATTTTTAAAGTATCTCACTATATATTTTATAATATATTTAATACATATGTATGTATATTATTATCTATTAGTGACTTACAAATGAACTACAATTTCAGGAATTCAATAGTCTCTACCCACGAGTTTTCTATGTTTCAGCTCCTCACTGGAAAAATTAAACTTGAAGATGGAGATGTGGACCAATGCTTGGTTTACCCAAATGTCTCAATAAAGGAATGAATTTCACTCAGGCTCTTGTCCAGATCACACACAATCCTGCAAACACAGTTAAGCCAGAGATCACATCCTTGACTCATCACTGCCTGTTGCAAGGTCCTCACTCCGTGGACACCCAAAAGAAAGAAGTTTATGTGTGATTCTGTCCAGATACACAAATGGACGGGCAGTGTGATTAATCTCCATAACCTTTCCAAGATATTCCTGGACCTGACCCTTGTTAGGGATTCTTTATTTTTCCCACACTCCTCCTCCTGACCTTATGTTAGAGCTGGTGAACTTCGTATCCTCAGTGACAGCACAAGGCTTTGCATGCTTTATGAAAACATGGAGTTACAAAACAGACTGGTTACAAAATAGGATGGAAAGCTATTAAACATCTTTTATTCTATTCTCTAACAAGTCCATCCCTAGAAAGTTAAATATAACATAATTTTTGCAATTACTCACTTTCTTATCTTTCATGGTAATGAGCCATTCTGTATGAGACAGGTAGCTGTTCAGTCTGAGGCAAGACCACTTTTGTTCAGAAGAATTAGGCTTTTGAAAATCACC